CTGAGCTGCACCAGCTGAGCCAGCAGGTCCAGGACCTGCCTCTGCAGGGCCACCGAGGTGCTGGTGGTGTACTGCTTCAGAGCTTTGATCACCAGAGGCTCAAACAGCCGGATGTGGTTGTGAATGGCGTTCTGAGAAAAAAAAAAGGAAGGGGGGACATGTTTTAGACTGTATTTGCATCATATGTCTTTATCCAAAACAGATTTTGAAGCGTTGGAAGTGTTTGAGTCTACCTTGTCTCCTCTGTGACGGGTGGCATTTGCTATGTTGGACCTCAGCTGATTGGACGCTTTCTGCATCACATCAAACCATCTACAGATAAAAGCAGATGTTCAGTATTAAAGTAGAAGTACTTAAGTACCAAAATGCAGTATCTTCACTTTATTGGAGTATATATTTTTTGCCCTACTTTTACTTTTACTCCACTACATATTTTTGATTTATTTAATACTTTTACTTCGATCGATTTTTCACGGGCTGAATCGTTACTGCTTACTGAAATGTAAACGTAATGATAGATAGCTCTGTCAGGGTTTGGGAAGCTGGCTCCTCATTGGCCGATTTGAGCCATTAACCATATGCTATTAAAAAAATACCTCCCGAAATTGTGTGTGACCTACTGGGGGAATTTCCGGTATCTGGTTAAGAGCCAGACCTGGTTAGGTGACCTGGAGGCCGTGGTTAGCCTGTTGATGGAAGAGCTTGATGTCTCATGTTGAGAATTCTGGGCTGTTCCATCATAAGGTTTTACCACCAGGCTTAACTCGCCCCTCTGGCCTTTTGAGATGCTTTATCTTCTGTGTTTTGTTTTATATTTTTTGTAAACACCTGTATGGCCTTTCACACATTTGAAATAATCTAAACAATATCTATCAAACTTTTGACTGCCTTTTTTTATATACACACTACTTTTACTTTTTAAATACTTCCACTTGCAATACTTAAGTGAAAAAAAAAGTGGAGTACTTCCGTACTTCCACTTAAGTATGGAGTTCAAAGAACACTTCAACTTTTACTCAAGTCAATTTTTTTAGATAGTACTTGTACTTCTAATCCAGTACTTTATACATCTCTGGATAGAAGAGAACAACCTTCTTTTAAATGCCCTCCATCTAAAGACCTATGGAAACTCCATGCCTGAACTAACTAACTAACTAACTAACTAACTCTGGATAGAAGAGAACAAC